GTACGAGGTTTCTTCGGGGGGGTGGGGGGGCTTGGACTTGGCCCCTGACCACAGAATTCTACACTTATAGAAGCGGAACTCCCTCTTCGCGATCGCCGATTCGCTGTGAGGAATTGAAACTAAAACATGGCGGCCGGTTGAGGGCACCTTTGGCTGCGCCGCACAGCGAGGCTTCGCGTTGCTATGCACGCTGAAGCTAGTGGTAGGGCTTGGAAGACACCTTACATCAGTATTTTAAAACTTTCTTCGAAGAGGAAATATAGTGAAATAGTCTAGTACATTTTCATTGCCAACAATATGTCATAATTGGCAATGTTACAATGTTTTTGTATTTGTATTGTTGGTTTGTTGTTTTTTTTAAATGATGGGATGGGATCTAGATATCTAGATCTACTAAAGATCTTCACAAGCACAATACACTTGATAATAACACTAATTATGAACATTAATTATGTTGGCAAAATATCAAGATATAGTCTTGATTAGTACTAGATCTACGATAATGGGGCGCTGACAGTAACATGCTCACTACAATAATATTGTCATTAAACTTAAGGCCATCCAAAGCAAGCAAAAAAGAACAATATAAGCCTTTTCTCCAATTTACTAAAGAGATAAATAAATTTAGCTTATATTGAGGAAATGTATTATTTCTCACTTTAAGAATTCATCTCTGTGTTTGCATCAGTAGCGTGTACAACAACATGCTTTGTTTAAAGCACATGCAAGTCTAACAAATACAAGAGATTGGGGAATGTGTCGGTTGCACATAAAATATATATAGGCCTATTATACATGCTGCCAAAAACACAAAAATGCAGAAAAGGCCTCAAAATATTGGTTTACACATAAAAGCCAATAATGCAAAACAAAGTAAACAAGAGTGGAACTGGCATATGTTTCCTGAATATATGTTCAAAGTCATTTTCTGTGTGTTGGGAGTGTGCTTTTCTAATGCATAAATGATAGGCTCATTTAGATGTGATAATGAAGAAACTTGTGTCTACAGTCACAACAGAAGAGTTCCATGGCGAGTGATCACTGGTCTAGGATTTCAGAGCTGTGTGCATTTTGAAAAAAATATATCCCCATACCCTGGATCACATGTCGAGGGGATGGGCTTGTCCCCCTGTAATCCTCGCACACAGTAAACAAACACATATTTTTGAACACGAATAAGAAAAAATAAGTGGTCCCTTGTTACGGATCAAATTGAAGTCCTGTTTCAATTCGATTAATTGATAAAAGTGCGTATCGCAATGCGTTGGCCACCACTGCCCTATAGGCCTATGCTATTTAATAAATACATTCGTCAGACCTGGAATCTTTAGTGCTCGCACACAGTAAACAAACACACATTTTTGAACACGTATAAGAAAAAATAAGTGTTGTCTTGTTACGGATCAAATCGAAGTCCTGTTACAATTCAATTAATTGATAAAAGCGTGTATCGCAGGGCATCGGCTAACCCAGCACTATTACGCTATTTTATAAATACATTCGTCAGATCTGGAATCTTTAATCTTTAATTTTTAATCCCCGCACACAGTAAACAAATACACATTCATGAACACGTATAAGAAAATAAGTGGTCTCTTGTTACGGATCAAATTGAAGTCTAGTTACAATTCAATAATTGATAATAGCGCGCATTGCAATGCATTGGCTAACTCAGCATTATACGCTATTTAATAATACATTCGTCAGATTTGGAATCTTAAATTATAATCATAATTATACGAGCCCGCGCGTGGGAAGTGAAACTGAAAGGAATTGAAAATGCTTTAAAAAACAATTATGAAAGTAACATAATTAAAGTAGGACTACATGTGCTTATAAAGGCCCAAAAAGGTGTATGGATGCGGAAATTAATGTTTCGGGTGAAAATAATACGCAATCTCTACTACTGTAGCATGCGGTCAAAAATTTGATGCGCAACTTATTATCAAATATCTAGGCTGCTGAACTATCGAACACCTAGATCTAGATTCTCCTAATTTTATACAATGACTTAGATCTATATCAATTCGTCTTAACCGATGAGTATTTTTTTTCAAACATTTGTACACATCTATAGGTTCTATATTATTTTAGAAATTTCTTTAAAGAAAATTCTTTAATAAATACTAGCCCAATATTTTAAAAAAATCCCAGTCAATGGTTTCTACAGATTTTTAAAAAGTTTATA